CCCCATCCTCACCGCACTCCCTTCCTCCTGCTCCCGCACCCCATCCATCCCCTCCCTCCAACACGTGACAGCCTGCCTGGAGCTCTAACCTGTACGAGAAACTTTCGTGGCAATTATCGTTGCTACACGGAAGACCGCATGGGGAGGGAGTGGGGGGGGCGATGGGGGGGGGGCTCAAGTAAAGACTTAAAGATCTGTCTTGCTTATCAGACAGGCCTTTTTCTGAAAGTCTGTGTTACTCTTTTTAGGAGCGCCAAGTCGATATCTCCGACGATAAAGATAAAACCCCATTTCCGCCCCTTTCCCCCTCCCTCTCCCCCGCCACCCCTTCCACATAGCCTCCACCATTACATGATTGCCTGGAACTCCACCCGTGCACAGCCCCGTTTCCCTCCCATTCCCTTCACTTGCGTTCTCCTCCTCCACCTGATCTCTTCTCTGTGCCCTCTACTCATTTTTTCAGTATCTTGGATAGGGCGATCTGATGAGAGCCAATCCATATCTTCGATCACAGCTTCAGGCCAGAGTTCCACATGCTCTTAATGCTCACTCTTCAGTCCAGTCCTCCCGACTCCTCGTGCAACGTGGTTACTGACGATCAAATTTCTCGAACACAAAATATGATTTTTTTAATAGAACGCTTATCTTGCCCTCTGAGCGCGCCGACCCTCTAGAAGGACCCCGGGGACAATGCCTGCGGGATGGCGCCAAGGGAGCTGCTTTCATCTCTGAGGCTGACCGAAGCCAACCGGGTTAACAGGCGGCGATAAGGCTCACTAAAGTAGGAGAATCGAGAAATCCTCTCTCGCTCTCTCTCTCTCTCTCTCTCTCTCTCTCTCTCTCTCTCTCTCTCTCTCTCTCTCTCTCTCTCTCTCTTTCCCTCCTCCTTCCCCTCCTTCCCTCCTTCCCTCCTCCTCCCTCCCTTCCACCTCCCTTCCACCCTCCCTCTTTCCCTCCTCCCCTCTCCTCTCCCTCTCCCTTCCTCTCTGGTATCTGTTTTTCCTTATTTCCAAAACATTGCTGAGTGGACTCCATTGCAAGGCAATGGGATTAAAGGTTAGGGCATTTCTGCACGATGAACAAATATCTAATAATAGAAACATTACTCGTGTGACGTCATCTTGTGTTGAAAAACCGAGGTCACAAAAGGCACGTCCTCCTTACCTACCCCCCCCCCCGCCGCCTTATTCCCGTGACCTTTTCTGCGACGGAAACGAAGGTGAGTTTCAGGAAGCAGCGGGCGAGGCGGGTGTATTGGCTCTGGGTGTGTCTGCGTTAGCATGCGTGGGCATGGGCGTGTGTGTGTGTGTGTGTGTAATGCGTTCTCTGTCTATACATTCGTTAGATCTCTCTTTTCTCTTCTTGTTCTTCTTTCTTCCTTCCGCAGTCACTACCGTTATCAATGTCATTATCATCAGCATCATCATTATTATATTTATTATCATTATTATCGTTATTATTATTATCGTTATTATTATTATTATCATCATCATTATCCTCCTCGTATTCATCATTTTCCTGCTCCTCCTCTCTATTATCTGTCATCATCATCTTCAACACAATCATCATATTGTTTTCGCCATTTCGTCTTTGTTTCTTCCCCCTCGCCTCTCCCCTCTTGCCTCCCCGCGGCCTTCGCTCTCTCCCTCCTCCGCTCACATTGTTCGGGAATTACAACACCGGCGGCTCGCTGACGCAGAACAGACCGCAACTTCCTCGGCGACTGGCAGCCTACAGCAGGAGGAGGGATGGGGTGGCTGGGGGGAGGGGGTGGAGGGGTGCGGTCTCTTAGGCCTATAAGTCGAAAGGTTTCCCATTCTACTGCCTTCTGTAAATTTCCCCCGAGTTTATCTGCCAGTTTCTTCGCCTTTCGCTCAGATATATTTTCCTCGCCGTGGTGCAGACGACGGCAGTTGATTCCCCGTCTCTTTCGGTGCCACGTGTATGTATCATCGTCAAAAAAAGAAATCGTGTACACGCGCACACATCGCACACACGCACATCAACCTCATTCCGTCTATTGGTAATGGCTGTGCAGTGAAAATCAGCGAGGAAGTGCGTCGAGGTGTGTGGCGCCAACACGTGGAACCACCACGTAGAAGCGCCACGTGTTGGAAACGGGCTCCTCGCGTTCTCTTTCCCCACGCAAGCCACTCTCGCCCTTGTGCAGTGCCACGGTACGGACTGAAGTACTGTACAGGGAGCGGCCAGTGAGCGGAAGTGAATTGTTTTCCCTCCCAAAGGCGGGAAAGAGGAGGAGGAGGGGAGGGGGAAGGAAGAGATGGAAATATTTAAGAAAGAAGTGAAGGCAGAGAGGAAGGGAGAGGCAGTAAAAGGGTCTGACGTGAGACGACTGAGATTTCCCAGACTGTATAAAAATATTCGCTTGTGTCTCTGTGCTGAATCCGTTTACACATTCCTGCATTACAAGGTGTTATGTCTACATATCTAGGTGGTGTGTATGCGGCAGAGGGATTCAGAATTTAATGTCCATATGATA